GGCCACACTGAAGGACCAAGTGGGATTGCTGCTGCCCCTGACAGGCCTGGTCAGTCCCTGTGGGGGTGGGTCACCTCACTGCTACCATCTCACAAGATCTGTGTTTGGTGACACCTGTGAATCAGTCAGCATCACCCGCTAAGGCCTGGTTCCAGGGCACCACAGCACGGCAGCTCCTGGCCCTGCCACTGCCCCGTCTCAGGCCGACAAACAGCTCCCATCACTCACGGGGCCGCTGCAAAGGGAACGTCCAGGGTCCTGAAGGTGTGGGCGTCTCCAGCCCCCCAGGGTGCTGCTGCCCTCCCTGTGCTTCTCTGTTTGTCTGTCTCTGTCTCTGGGGGTCCCACCCAGCGATGCTCAGGGGTTCCTCCTGGCTCTGCACTCAGGCATCACCCCTGGTGGTGCTCAGGGGCTGTAAGGGGTGCCTGGGATTGAGCCTGGGCTGGCGGCATGAGGGTGAGTGCCCTCCCCATGGTGCTCTCACTCTGGCCGCTTTTCCTTGCCTGAACCCTGGGTGCTGCCGCCCTTCCCTTTCCAGGCCTCGAGCCTGAGGATCTTGGGTGCGGTCACGGTCAGGCTGAGGCTGGGGAGGATGCTGAGGCCGGCGGGGAGGGGTCACTGCGGGAAGCCCGGGCCCCCCTGCTCCAGCTTAGGGGACCCCCCGCATGTGAGAGCAGAGAGGGACACAGGCAGAGACGGACTGACTCAGGGCACCCGATGGGGTGGAGCCCGGCTGAGGAGGGGCCGGCCTGGTCTTTGGGGCAAGGGACGCAGCAGCGGGCTGGCCACCAGGAACAGGGGCCTGGCTCCCTATGCCTGCACTGGGCGGGGCCGGCCGGGCGACACCTGGCAGCAGGCGTGCACGTCCAGGAGGTTGGGGTGCCTCTGGTGTGGGGGAAGCTCCCTTCTCCTCTCTGGCATTCCCCAGGGGCGTGAGTTGGAGGGATGTTCTGGAAGAGGAAGCTCCGGGGCCTCACCGTGCCCCAGGCACTGCACAAGCAGGGGTGCTTGGAGGCAGCCAGCACCAGGCTCTGCCCTGGGGTCTGGGTGGCACCGGGCAGAGTGAGCCAGCGAGGCCAGAGCAGTTGTGCGGGCGGGGGTGGGGTGAGGTGGTTTCCAGCCACACCAACATCTGCCCCGGCGTCTGTGTCCACGGAAACACCCGCACCCGCGTCCATGGAAACACACCTGGCTGCATCCACGGCAGGACCTGCAGCCGCGTCTACACAGACACCCACACCCGCGCCCACGCAAACGCACCGCATCCACACAAACACTGCATCCACGGCAGCACCGCACCCGTGTCCACGGAAACGCCTGCGGCTGCACCTGGTGAGGACCTGCATGGCAGCAGCCTCTCATCCACAGCACACGTGGACATCACATCCACCATGGACACAACACACATCCATCATCACGTCTACTTGGCGCAGAGTCCAGGGCGCGCTGGGCACACACAAGCGCAGCTGTGGCCGGGCCTGAGCCACCTGGACGGCGGCTCTTCCTGACCCCGAATCCCTGCCCCAGGGCCATCCCCGCCCCAGCCCCCTCAGCCGGAATGGAAGCTGATCTCTGCGCCCCCCTCCCCTCCACTCTGGGCTGTCAGCTGCCCCTGCATGTCTGCCCACCTGACCCTTGGCCTATGGAGCCCCAAGCCGGATCCTCGCCGGAATCCCCAGGAAACCGCAGGAGGTGGCGGCCTGGAGCCCTGGCGAGTGTCTGTACTCGGGGGTGACACAGGGGCAGAAGGTGTGTGTGCAGCCCAGTAGGGAGTCTGGCTGGGTGTTCGGGGCCGGGGGCGGGGGGGGGAGGTGGGCCCCTGCCATGCTGGGTCTGGCTGCACCCCGAGGGACTCCTCCTTCGCGTGGACAGGCCTGGCGCCCATTAGGGAGACATGGGGCCGGAGCAGGTGCTGGGCAGGGCCGCCGGACACCGCTGGCCCCGCAGGTGCTGGGAAGCGCTTTCCCCACATGGAGGCGAGAGTCTGTGTCTGATGCCCAGTGCGTGCAGTCTTGGGCCATGCCCACGCCCCAGGGGAGTCGGTCCAGCAGGTAGTTGGGCAGGCGCGGGTCCTCGGGCCAGGTTGGATGCAGCAGGGCTCTGAGGGGCAGCAGGGACAGGACACGTGGGGTGCAGGGGGAGGCCAAGGGGCACCCCACCCGGGTCCTGAGTGGCCACGCAGTGCGGGGGGGCAGGTGGCTGGCTTCCAACGGCCAGGCTGCATGCAGCTCTCCGGGTGTCCCGGGGGACAGGACAGGGGGTGGGTGTGGGGCGGGCAGCCGGGGGCTGCCCACAGAGTGATGCCCGCGCCCCGGGCAGCGTAAGGAAGCACAGACACTGACGTCGCGACTTTTTCTTTCAATAGGAGACTTTTAATCAGGTCAGAGACGACAGGAGCTGGGCTGGGAACCCCCAGCTCCGTTACAAGTAAGAAACGGTTTCCCCTCAATGCAAAGCATAGTTTGAAACCGCGGCGCCCGCAGCCTGCCCACTGCACGGCGGAAAGTGAGTCCGAGCCGCCCGACGCTGGGAAAGGAAGCGCAGGAGGCGGCCGAGTCCGGCGGGCGGTGGGGCGCGGGGCGCGGGGCGCGGGGCCCGGAAGGAGAGGGCCCCCGGCCGAGCCCCGCGGAGCCCTGCAAACACTGTTTCCACATAGATACAACAGACTCTAGGATCGGTAAGTCACAAAGGCTAGATAAACTTTTTCTTAATATGACAAATGTTTAAGTAGACCTTTTTTTTTTTTAAATTTTCCTTACAATAAAAAGTACAATTTCTCAAGAGTTAAGTCCAGTAAAGACGCAAACGCTCCCCCTCCCGACGCTGCGGCTTCAGCGTTCTCTGCTTTACAGAAAAAATTCCCATCTTTTGCGCCCGCAAAGGTCAGGAGAGGGGACAAAAGGCATTTCTCCCCGAGCTGCCGAGACGCGTGCAAACTGTCCAGGGCAGACATGCGTGCTTGCCCATGCGACTTCAGGAGTAGGAAACTTAAAAAAATAGATTCATGTGTATTTCTATAGAGATTCAGGTGTGTATCAGCGCCCGGACACACGCAGGCCCGGGGGCTACAAAAAAGACAGAGTGAGCGCGGGAGGGGGCGGGCACACACCGCCCCCCACGCACCCCTCCGAGGAAAGAAAATCTGAAACACTTTCGCAGGCGCCCCGCTGGCCTCCTGCTGGGGTCCCGCGCGGGTCTCAAAGGGTATAAAGTGCTGGCCTGCTGCTCCGGAAAGGCTCGGCCCGCACGGCCTGGCCCGGGGGCTGTGTGTGCTCAGTGCAAAGGCCGGCCAGCCCCCTCTGGACTGCGGGAAGCCCCCCGGAGGCTCAAAAGGACCCCTAGAGTGGAGTCTGCCGTCCGGGCTCGGGGCGGTCACTGGGCCTCAGTGGGCTGTGCTCGACCCATCCGGCCCCTGCCCTGCCCCTGACCGGGCACGCACCGGGCCAAAAGTGCCTGTCGCCAGAAGGACGGCCCGTAGGCCCAAGGCCGGCACGCGGGGGCAGGCGGGAGGCGGTCGGTGGCTTCACGTGATAGAAAACAAGGAACCAGAAAAAAAGTGGGAGAACAGCCAAGGCGGGTGGCCGGCGGGTGCTGTCACCGCCAGCCGCACCCAGGGCCGGGACCACGGGGGCACTGCGGAAACGGGCCGGCCCTGCGCCTGCCAGCTGCGAAAAGGTCTTTGGGAAACTCAAGTTAAAACTCTGCCCCGACAGTGCTGCCAGTGGAGTGAGCACCAGCGGTGGGGTGGGGTCCCGCCACCGGGGACAGCCCCGTGCCTGCGGCCACACTCACTGCACCGCCGCGGGGCCCGCCACTGTACAAAACAGAACACAACGAAAAGGTTAAGAAAACACCTCTGAGAGTTAAAAAAGAGAAAGCAAAGCAAACGAGTGAGAATTCAGAAGGAAAGAGGGAGTGACGTCGTCCCCGTCAGAAAACCCACTTGGTGGAGAGAACGGACAGAAAACTCACAGAATAATGCGTATCCAGGGCCCTTTTGTGGAAAAGTCATACAAAAAACCAACAGCAAATGTGTCCTCGTGGCTATAAAGACTCAGTAAGTACATACTGTGCGTGAGGCGCGGGCGGGGGGCCGGGCGCGGGCCCTCCCCCCAGGAGCTCCGCGCGAGGTCCCTCTGGAAGCACCTTGGTATCGAGTCCACAGTCGGTCACCGCCAGGGACCTTTGCCATCTGCATTTATTTTATATATATATTTATATATATATATACTTTTTCTATAAATGCATTATAAATATTTTATCAAGATTTCATAAGAATCAAGTTTCTTAGCTTGGAATACATTGGAATCTATATTGTACATATATATATTTATTTATACCTAAAATTTAAGCAATACTTCATGCTACTTGCTTTTCATAAAAAGCATTCCGGTCTGGGCATGCTTCACAGCGACGGCGTCAGGTGACGGAAGGAAAGAACACTTTGGATTCGTCGAAAACGGGGTGGACCTGAACGCCCCCCACGGTATCTGCCACTTGGCTGGGACCACCTCCATCCCCCAAACAGCAGAAACGCAGAACCGGGGTCCGGACCCCGCCTCCTGCTGCTGATTTTGCTTAAGGCATCGTTCCTCAGACTTCAGAAAACCCAGCCCACGTCCATCCGAGCAATAAAGAAAGGCACAAACTCGCGTCTCCCATGGCTTCCGGGGTGCCTGGGGCCCCCGTTCCTGCCCAGTCTCCGTCCTCGAGGGCGGTCTTGCCGGTGCCCACCCGGTGTCCACGCTCAGGTCCGCGGCGGGAGCCGGAGCCAACGTCGTCTTCGCAAGAAAAGAAGCTACAAGATGAGTCGAGGGGGTCACGGACACGTGGGTGGGAGCAAGCGTCCAGCACCAGTTGGGTCAAGTGGGTTCGTGGCGTCCGAGCTCGGACCACGCTCCGGCGTCGGCCGAAGCAGGCGACTCGCCCCGAGCCGCCCGCCGCGTGTCCGCTCGTCCCAGGGCGGCGTCCGTCCCGGCCCGGGTCCGGGCGGCAGAAGGGGCTCCCCGAGCCACTGGGCCCCTGGCACCTGGTGTCCAGGGCAGCGGGACACAGGGACGCGTCTTCTCGGCTGCGCGTCAAGACAGACAGACAGAGCGACGGCGGCGGCTACAGGGGCGGCTCCTGCTCCATGGGCTCCTCGTCGGCCCTGCGGGGAGACGCCGTCAGACCCGGCCCGGGCGGGGGGCGGGGGGCCGGGCCGGGCCGGGCGCGGGACACTCACCTCTTCTCGGCGGGCGTCACGCCCACGGACAGGGAGGCCATGGCCGTGACCGTCTCGGCCTCCTCGTTCTCACACTTCTGCGCCTCGAGCAGCGCGTAGCCCGCCGTGGAGGACAGGCGCTGCAGGGACCGCCAGTACTGGCCTGGGGGACAGCGGGGTCAGGGGCGCCCTGGGGCTGGGAGGGACCGCGGGGGCCGCCCTGGGGGTGGGGTGCGCCCCCGCCTCTCCGGGCTCTTGGGGGTCCCCTGACCGGGCGCATGGGCACCGGTCACCTGCTCTGGGGCTGTCCCTCCTGTCTCACGGAGCCTGCTTGGTGAGCGAAGTACCAGCCCCGTGCGCAGGCGGGGCAGGGGCGGGGGTCGGGGGTCAGGGGGTCGTGTCCGCCCCACTCACTGTGGATGCTGATGACCTTCTCCATGGACCGCACCGCGTTGGCGTTGGGCCGCTGCTCCAAGACCTTCTCCGGGAGCGGGTCCAGCTGCAAGAGACACGCTGCGGACTGAGCGCGGGCTGGGGCTGGGGGTGAGGGGGTGAGGGGGGAGCGAGCGAGGGGGGAGGGGTGCGTGGTGGGTGCAGAGCTGGGCGGGTTCCACACTGGCGCCAGGGCCCGGCGCAAGTCCAGGACAGAGTCTGCCTGCTCGAGAAGCTTCTCGCAAATACAAGTTTCTTTCAAGGGACTTTCCTGGGGATAATCAGGCAGGTGGTAGGGTTTGGCCACCAGAGGACGGACGGACAGATGGACGGGTAGACGGGGCAGAAGGGGCCCGACATGTAACTGCAGGGGGATGCGGCGCAGACGCTGGGGATGGGGTGACGGGGAGGGGGACCCCCCCGTGGGGCAGGAGCCCTGGCCTGCAGCTGCACGTGCTTGAAGTGCAGACTCTGCGCAGCCCCAGTGCCCCAGACAGCAGGGGTGGGAGGACGCAGGACGGGATACCCGGGAGACTGGGCGGCAGAAGTGGCGGGCCTGGCGGGAGAGCCCCACAGGCCCCGGGTACAGGCTGCAGGAGAGCCCCCAGTAGCCCCCAGGGACCTCTCGAGACATGCCCCAGGACCCTGAGACGCCAAAACGCCCCCAGCGACCCTGAGAAAAATGCCCTCCCCCAAAGACACCGAGAAGACGCCCCAGAAACCCCCCAAGACATGCCCTGCCAGTGATGCCGAGAAGATGCCCCCAGACTCAGGTCTCTGGAGGACCAAGCTCTGCGCAGCTGTGGCGACCTTTACCCCTGCTGCCTGCCGGGGCGCTGACACTGCCCTCCTGGGCAGAGTGGCTGCCGCCCCTCCGGGCCCCGTGTGCTGGTCTGCTGTGAGCTGGGGGTCACACTCAGGGGTGCAGGTGGCAATGGGAGCTGTGGCTGTCTCCATGCGGGAGGTCTTGGGGGCGGGGGGGGGGGTCACGGCCCAGCCCTCAGTGAGGCCGGCACAAGGTGGGGGGGACCTTCTGCCACTGCAGGGCCCCTGTTCTGGGAAGCGTGGGGAGGGGCAGGCCCCGCACCCCCTCCTGCAAGGGTGAAGGGGGTCCTCACTGGGCCCTGTGGCCCCGTGGGACAAGTTGTCCCGTGGGGAGAGCAGAGGGGTCACTGGGAGCCAGAGGCAGCCCCAGGGCCAGGCCGGGCCCCGGGAAAGGGCACAGGCAGGCAGCTGTGGCCCGCGGGTCTGCCGGGAGAGTGCATGCACGGGGCGGCCGCCTACCTCATTGCCCAGCAGCGCCGAGACGCAGGCTTCTGATGCGTCGCAGATGGCCGTGAGGTCGTGGCCGCCCTCCAGGGCCAGCACGATGCGGCCGCCGGCCAAGCCCATCAGCTGCCGCGTCAGGTACCCGAAACCTGCGGAGCCAGAGACGTGAGTGGAGGCGCGGCACGATCAAAGCCTGACAGGGCCCCCGCCCGCCCGGGCCCGGGGCGGCGGGCACGGCGGCCGTAATGGAAGCCAGGTTGGACAGTAATAAATTCACGGAGCGTTTCTGCCCGGTGCTTTTTGATCTGTCGGAGAGCAGGAATTATGGTTCCAGGACTTTCCTTTTATAATGCAGCAAATCATCTCGCTGGAAGGTGGGGAGTCCCTGGGAAGTGGGGTGCTCCCTCCCGAGAGCAGAGGGTGGCACGGCACCCCCTGCGACCGGGGCAAGGCCGCCTCTGCTCAACCAGTGGGCTGGGCACACACATGAGTGTGTACCACGTGCAGGCTTAGGCACACACATGCACTCACTAGCCCACGTGTGGCAACCCACACGTGTGCACACACTACACACATCACACACAGCCCCCTGTGCACACATCAGGGCACACGCACACAGAGCCCCCCACATGTGGTTTCCATCTCGGTCTCGGTCCCTCAGCCCCACAGGAGGTGGGAACTCGAAGCGGCCGCGCGGGCGCCTGCCGGGCGGAGGGGGGCTGCCGGGAGGGTGGGCGGGGCCCAGCCCAAGTGCCGGACTCACATCTGGCGGACAGGTTGTAGCCGCCCAGAGGCGTGGGGTGGCCCTCCACGGCGTCGAAGCCAGACGACACCAGCACCACGTCCGGGGCGAATTCGCTGGCGATGGGCATGACCACGGTCCTGTGGGCAGAGCGGGACAGGTCTGGGTGGACGGGCGAGGCTGGCACAGGCCATGGGGACGGTGGGGCCCAGGCAGTCCATGGCCCCATCCTCGTACAGTGGCACGTCTGGGGGCTCCTCCCTCCCCAGCACGCGAGCCATGAGACACGCACCCAGAGGACCAGCTGGTGGGGAAGCCCCATCCGCCCCAGCCCTCCCATGTCCCGCCTGGACACACGTGTGGGGCGCTGGGGAGCAGCTCCCTGCAAGGGCCCTTCTGAAAAGGGACAGAGGGACGGGCCAGAGCCGCCGGGGGCGGGGGCTTTTCTCTGCAGGCTACATGAGCTTTGCCCAGTGACAGGCACCCCTGGGGCGCCCCGCAGTGAAACCACAGCATCTCAGCCACGTGCCCAGCCCTGTGCCTGCATCGTGTGGCCGAGGTGTGGTGGCAGGTGGCAGCCAAGGGACCGAGCCAGGTGCGTGAGCTGCAGGCTAGTGCCCGTCACCCGAACAGACGTGATCATCAACTCCCCAGAGAACCTCGGACAAGCAGGAGGAACCCACAGGCTCCCCCTTCTGGAGAGTTCCCTGAACTTCCCACGCCGGCCGCTCATGGACACAGGGTTCAGGGCTGCAGGGTCCCTTTGTTCAGAGTGCCTGCTTCCTCCTTGACCTCTGGGTGCAGCCGCTGCACACAGCACGGCAAGGAGCATCGCCAGGAGCTGGGGCCCCTCCGGCCCATCGTGCTAGATGCAGTCACCCAGTACCCGCCTACATCACCCACAGTCCCATGGTACCCTACCATGTCACTCCCAGTCCTCTGGTACCCGCCCACGTCACCCGCAGTCACCCTGTACCATCCACCAAGGCTGGAGACAGGCCGAGCCCCACACCTGCCCAGAAGCCCACGGCTGCACCCGGCTCCCTCTGTCCTGTCACTGTGGGATGCCTGCAGCCCTGCAGAGCCCCGACCCCCCAGATGCAGCACCCTCAGGGAACAAAGCACCAGGTGTGGCTGGGCCTGGTGTGGTGAGGGACTGACCACAGCCCCTTCTGGAACCCCCTGGCTCCCACCCCCAAATGGCCTGTGCCCCAGTGCCCAGACTCCACTGCCTTCCCCCAAAGGCCCCCGGGAGCACCGCTGCAGACCCCCTTTCCCACCCACACCTCTGGCCTCGCCCGCAAAGGCCCCCAGAAACCACTTTCTGGGGGAAATGGAAGAGAATGTGGGCGAGTGCCTGGCGCGCTCAGCAACACGGGGGAAAGGCCCTTGGAGCTGCCCGGCCCAGCCCGGCCCGGGGTGGCCGCTGCAGGGGAAGCGGGCAAGGCCACGTGGGCGGCCCTGGCCCAGAGAGCAGCTCCCGCCGCGCTGCCAACTTCAAAGCGCGTCTGGCCGGGGACTGGTTTGAATTAAGGTCCCTCCCTGTGAGCCTCAGAGGCCGAGAAAGTTGGGGTTCTGGCTTTCATTAGGGCCATTTTCTTATCTCTTCTTCATCTCCGGCTTGATCTCCTGAAATGCAACGTGGCAGGGCTGGGGGGTCACAACGCGCTGTCGAGGCACGCCGTGTCCCTCGGGCCGCGGGAGGAGCACGGAGGAAAGCGGCCCCCACCCTCTCCCGCCTCGGCAATGCCCAGGGAGCCATAAATTGCGAACTTCAAAGCATGGCCCTACATTAAAATAAAATTTTTAGAAAGCCTGAAACAATTTCCCTTTTCAAAGGAGCTATTTCAGTTTGAAAGTTCACTTGATAAGGTATCGTCGCAGGCAGACTTGGCACCGGATGAAACGGGAGCCCCGGTGAGGCAACACGCAGGTTCCTGAGAGGGTCAGGCACGGCCTGTGGAGTGGGGGCTTCCCGCCCCGGGCAGCAGACATAAGCCAGTGCCCTGGGCAGAGGGACAGAGAGGGACCCCACGCCCATCTGCAGCTTCGGTGTGTGACACCTCTGGACAGGGCAGCTCCCAGGTGATGTCACTTTCAGTGAAGAGTGAGATGCGCAAGACAGGAGAGGGAGCCTGGGTGGAAACTGGGGTCCTCAGGGGTGCTGAACCCCAGACACTGCGGGTCACATGCCCAGGGCCCGGCACTGGGGGAGCTCCAACTGCCCATGAAATTCTCCCCAAGACATCCGTGTGCAGAGTCCTGTGTGCTGGGTGAGGGCCCCGAAACTGCTCCCCTGGCTCCTGCACACACGGCTGTGCCCACACCCCCACTCCGTGTCTGCACGCCCGGCACATGCTCTGCCTTCCACCGCATGGGGCAGAGGTGGTCAGGAGTTCTCGGGGACCACGGACCTGTGCCTAGCGCCACCGCAGCTTCTCTGGGCCCTGGGGACAAGTGTCTGCCCTGAAGGCAGGGATTCCCCTCACCACCAGACCCTGTGAAATGACCAACTGACCACAAGCAAATGCACCTGACTACTGAGGGGAAGAAACTAGGTAGGTATCAGGGCCTAGAATGGAGAATCCACGCCCCCAGAAAGGGGAGAACACACCCCCAGAGGGAAGCCACGCCCCTGGAACAGAGAAACCACGCCCCGACGGGGAAAACCACGCCCCCAGAAAGGGGAGAACACACCCCCAGAGGGAAGCCACGCCCCTGGAGCAGAGAAACCACGCCCCGACGGGGAAAACCACGCCCCCAGAAAGGGGAGAACACACTCCCAGAGGGAAGCCACGCCCCTGGAGCAGAGAAACCACGCCCCGACAGGGAAAACCACGCCCCCAGAAAGGGGAGAACACACCCCCAGAGGGAAGCCACGCCCCTGGAACAGAGAAACCACGCCCCGACGGGGAAAACCACGCCCCCAGAAAGGGGAGAACACACCCCCAGAGGGAAGCCACGCCCCTGGAGCAGAGAAACCACGCCCCGACGGGGAAAACCACGCCCCCAGAAAGGGGAGAACACACCCCCAGAGGGAAGCCACGCCCCTGGAGCAGAGAAACCATGCTCCGATGGGGAAGCCACGCCCCTAAGAGGAAAGCCCCGCCCCGACTCAGCCTCCCTGGTGGCTGCGTGCATGGCCATGTCCACTCCGCAGCCTGCTCCTGCTGCCCGCTGCCCCCAGATGCGGCCACGGCGGCCAAGTTGTGGAGACAGGAGGAAAGGCCGCCTGCTGAGGGAAGCACATGGGGAGGGGGGTCTCACCTGAAGGCCGCCAGGTACTCAGCGTCGCCCATGGGGGGGTCGAGGCCCCCGGTGAAGGCCATGTTGACGTTGAAGCCCACGCCTGGTCCCGTGCCCACCTGTGCGCAGAGAGCGGGGGCACGGCCTTAGCAGACAACCCACGGCAAGCTCAGGGCTGTCCCAGCGCGAGGGGGGCACAGGGTCTTCCTGCGGGCGCTGGGCTGGCCACACTTGGGGGGCCAGAGGGGAGTGAGGCTCTGGGGGCTCCCCGCGGGGAGGGAGGGCCGAGGGGTTCCTGTTGGGGACAGTGAGGGCTCCGAGCACCCACTTCTGGAGCTCTCCCAGGATGAGGGGTGTGCCTGGGCCCGCACAGTGCCCCAGGGGAGTCACCGCTCAGGAGCCCCCGAGGAGGTGCCGGAACAGGGCCTGTCTCGGGGGAGAACCCCAGAGGAGGGGGCCCAGGATGGGCCCCAAGGCGCCTGCAGAGCCCTCTCGGACCAGCTGCTCCACCGTGACATGGGCAGTGCTCCTGGCCTTCCCCCGAGCTGCCGAAGCGGACCGGACCCGGTCAAGCTGTCCCGACAGAGCGGGACCAGGTGCGCATGTGAGGACCTGGGCTGGGGGTTGGGGGCGGGGGTGTGGGAAGGAGGGGGAGAGTGGGGGTGTTCGCCCGCCCTCACTCTCAGCCTGGCCTTGCTCAGGCCCCGCCCCGACTCGCCCCGCCCACCAGGCGCCCCGCCCCTCCCTGGCCCCGCCCCCGCCAGGTGCCCCGCCCACCTCGTCAGGTGCCCCGCTGCCTGGGAAGAAGTTGCCATCGTCATAGCGGTGCAGGGACACATACAGGACGCTGGGGTCGCTGTAGAAGGCCTGCTGGGTGCCGTTGCCATGGTGCACGTCCTGGAAGGGCCGTGGAGCTGACTCAGTGGGCAGGGTTGGCACACTCCCCGGGCCGGAGGCTCGGAGGGGGCGCCTGTTCTGTCCCAGCAGGACAGGGGGTGCCCTCACAGGGTACCCACCGCGAGCCGCTCTCAGCGGCTGCACAGCCTCAGCCCCACCCCCCACTCATTGGCTTCTCTCAGCCGCCTCAGGAGCCCGGGCCCTGGCTGGGTAGCTGCTGTGTCTGTCAGCTACACTCACTCTGCATGGTGGAGCTTGGAGAAAGCCACTGCCGGGGCGGCCCGGCCCATGTCAGCCTACGTCCATATTCAGCCCCTTGTCCAGATCCACGTCCCAGCCCATGTCTCAGCCCACATCCCAGCCCACGACCCGGCCCACATACCCAGTCCACAATGAGCGTCTTGCTCACACTCAGCCGCTGCTGGAGTAGCTTGGCTGCGATGGCCACGGAGTTGAAGTAGCAGAAGCCCCTGCGGGGAGTCAGGGGGACGGACCCTTAGGGCGGCCTCAGGCCCGCACAGCTGCCAGAGCATCTGGAGACTCTCGGCAGCCTCGGAAGGCTCTGGTCTGTGTCCTTATGATTGCTTGGCGGCAGGGACTCAAGATGAACCCCTCCACTGTGCACCGACTTCCTGATGGGCGCCCAGAACTGCACAGGACCTCCTGACCTCCTGAGGGCCTCTCGGTCCGCAGGACCCAGAAGTTACTTGTTGCATCGGGTTCCTACAGTCTAAGGCCCACATAGGGGGATCTGGTCACCCAGGATGAACTGGTGTTGATCTCCCCCAGCAGAGCAGAAAACCCGCTGCAAGGAGCCGGGAAATCTGGCTCACGAGGTTGCTGGGCCCAAATCAGAGAGCGAGTGAGAAGGACAGGGGGGTGGCCGGAGGGATACTGGGGACACTGGTGGCGGGAAATGTGCACTGGTGGAGGGATGGGTGTGCGATCATGGCATGACTGAAATGTAATCATGAAAGTTTGTGACTATCTCACTGTGATCCAACAATAATAAAAAAAAATAATAATAAAAGGAACTACCTATTTACTAAAACAAACAAAAAAGGTTGCTAGGCCCCAGTAGGCCCAGAGTGGGGACTGCCACAGCTTACCCCAGTACCTCTGGGGCTCCCGCTACAAACACTGAGACCTTCCAGCACTGTGGAGCTTGGAGAAAGCCAGTGCCAGGGGGAGCCTCTGTCCAGCCCACGTCCATATTCAGCGATTAAATGGATGCTTCTGCTCCCCACGGGGCAGTCCCGGGCAGGGCAGTGGGTCTGCGGGAGGTGAGGTTCCCTCCCACGGTCAGGGAGGCCTGGCTGGTCCTGGCAGCAACACTGCTCCAGGCTGTGGCACCACCAGGCTGCTGCAGCCTTCAGATTCACGGCTAGTCTGACCTTGGTCCAGCTGGGCTGTGGCCAGGCCTGGGCCCGGGTGGCGGCACCTGCCAGAGGCCCCACCAACAGCGCCGGATTGGACACTGCAGCCACATGCATGCGTTTCAGCCTTGCTCCGGGGAGCCATGTGGCAGGCCCTGTGGATTCTGGCTTTGGGGTCTGGCCTGAATGTTCCAGAACTACATAAGGAGAATGAAAAAGTGTGAGGAGGCTTGGTCAATCAGACTCGGTGCTGGCTTGGCCCCGCCCCTCTGGCCCTTGGCCAATCGGACTCGCAAACTGACTTGGCCCCGCCCCTCTGGCTGTCCACCCAGACCCACCCTCTTCACATGTCTCAAAGGCTGAAGGTTTTGTCCACTGGGGGTGCACGGGACGTGTGGGCACTGTAGGCGATTGGGAGCCCCTCACCCCCCACCCCCCGCCACCCGAGGGTGGCCCTGCAGAACAGCCTCAGCTACTTACATGGGGGTACTCTCCTCGGCGTGATGCCCAGGGGGACGGACCACGGCGAAACCATTCTGCAAGGCCGGCAGAGGCAGGGAGAGAGGGGCGAGAGGAGGGAGGGTCAGAAGGACGCTCGTGGCCGGAGCTGGCCATAGCTCAGGGCACACGGCAACACGAGGTCCAGGCAGGATGAGCACCAGGCGCTGAGCCCAGCCCAGGCCCCTCGGGTCGGAGGGAGAAGAGGCTTCAGTGCCCAGCAGCTCCTCCGGGATCGGGGGAGGGAAAGGTTCCGGCCCCCAACACGCCGTGTCTCCCCAGGAGGGAGAGGCCAGGGCAGGTTTGGCTGCCAGGTCACCCCTGACTCGGGTCCCAGCGGGGCGGCTACTGCGGGAAACAAGGGCACCCCAGTGTAGACCGCACAGTGGGAAGGGAAGGGATACTGCAGTGGGCTGGGTAGCCCCCCAGATCCCCGTCCATGGGACCGCTGGACTCCCTGTATCCATGGGGCCCCCCAACTCCCTGTATCCATGGGGCTCCCCGACGCCCTGTACCACAGACTTTCTACATTTACGGGACCCCTGGAACCTGGTATGATGGGAGCCCCAGTGACATGCCCACATTGGGCGGGGGTGCAGCCCTCCGTGGCGGCCATTTGGGAGGGGCGTATCCCCCTGTCTGATGATGTGGAGGTCCTCAGAGCTAAGGCTGTGGAGCCCTGGGCTCCCCCGGCACTGCCTGGAACGCCACGGGGCAGCATGGGGCCCCCAGGCACCTCAGGCTGGGCCCCACGTCACGGGCCTGCTGGCTGAGTGGGGACCCACACTTGCCGCCCCTGCTCTGTTGGTCAAGACATCACATCCCAGCCAGGACCACGGGGGCCAAAGTGGAGGCCAGGAAAGCTGTCCCAGGCTCAGCGTCCCAGTAACCACCCAAACCTGCCCCCGACCCTGGACCCCCATGCAGTGGACACTGACCTTCAGCTCCCCTGTGGCCACCTTGAAGACCAGCTCAACCACACAGCCTACGGCCAGACGGGCAGCCCCGGATGAGTGCACTTCGTTCCAGATGGTGTCACTGTCCACCTGTGGGACAAGGCGCCACAGTGAGACCCTCTCGGTACGGGCTTTATTTACTTATTTATTGGCTTTTGGGGTCACACCCGGAGATGCACAGGGGTTACTCCTGGCTCTGCACTCAGGAACTGCTCCTGGTGGTGCTCGGGGGGATCATATGTGATGCTGGAGATCAAACGCCCTACCCACGGTACTATCACTCCGACCCCTCAGTAAGGGCTTTAGAAAGGCAGGCCAGCCCCAAGCTAAGGGCCCCAGCCAAGGAGGCAAGAAGCCTTGAACCAGTGAACACACTGGCCGAAGGGCCAAGGGGCCCCTGATGTGGGGCTGCCGGGAGCAGCTGACTCGGCCTGGCTGGCCTGTCCCTCTGCCCACAGCTGTCCCCGTGTCAGGCGGGCGTGTGAGCCCGGGTTGGGCAGTCGAGGCTCTCCAGAGACGAGCTGCTCGGGACAAGGTGGGTGCAGAGGCCCAGGCCAGGGGGCCTGGGGCCGACGGTGCAGAGCGAGCTGGACACACGTGGGGACCCTGCCTCTGCGGGTCCCCCTAACCCACGTGTGCCAGGTGCACCCACTGCTGGCCAGCCTCACGGGGAAGTCCCGCCTCGGCACCTTCAAAGCCGGACTGCGGCATCGTTGCCGGGGATCAAGCCATTTCCGGAGGCGAGCCAACGGCGGCCTGCTCTAAATCGCTTCCAAATGTCTGAGGCTGTGTCGCGGGGGCGGGACCCTGGCCCGGGCGGACCCCTGAGAACAAGCCCTTGGAAGCAGCTGTGCGGTGGGCAGGGGCCTGGGTGAAGATGCTCTGGCCGCTTCTCTGTCTCCGGATTCACACCACACCCCGGGACCCCGACTGCGGCTCAGACTCAGGGCAGCGTGCAGGACCCCCCCCCGCACGGCCCAGAAACCCTGGGAGGGAGGCAGCTGGGCCTTGAGCTGTCACCTCTGGGGCTACAGGGACCCCAGAAAGCTTGAATATCCCCCAGGGCTGCATAGACGCCTAGGCAGACCCGGGGGAGGCGTGTCCCCCACTGAGGGTGGCCAGGAGGGACCCCCAGGGGCCTGTGTAGTGTACCAGGGTGGACAAGGATGAATCCTCGAGTCCCCGCCAGGAAGGCCCCGCCCCTTCCTGCTCCACGGAGGGCAGACCCAGCACTGGTGGGCGTCTGCCCTCAGCAGGGTCATGGCTATGGCCAGTGCCGGGCAGGGGTGTGGCGGCATGGACGAGCGTTTGCTCCCAGAAGGGGTCATTTTCAAAGCAGCGATTTCTGCACAGACTCAGGAGGGAAACAATTTTGTTTCACTTCCGTAACTGAACCCAGACCTAGTCTCTGCCGTGACCCGGGAGTGGGCCCAGGCCCCTGGGGAGGACACTGGCCACCCCCAGCGCTGCTGAGCTTGGCTTCGGTGGGCACAGGGCCAGGCGGGCCCCGGTGGAGGGCGCCCCTGATCCTGGTTCCCGGGGACACACGCGGGCAGCCGACTCACCCCAACACCGCCGCAGGGCAGCCTGACAAACACGGAGGCCAGCGAGCCTGCGGGAAGGGGACAAGGTCAGTAGACTGGACACGCGGACGCGGGGAAGGGGCAGTGCCTGGGGCCAGGGGGCCTGAGGGGACCGGCGTGCGCCAACCTGCTGTCCCTGGCAGGGGCCAGCCGGGCCCATCCGAGGCCTGTCCTCGCCCCGTCCACTGTCTGGAGGGTCCCCTGGTGCCGCAGGTGCCGGAGGGGGTGTGGCCAGTGTGCCGGGAGCCACCTGCCCCGTCCCCTCCCCAGGCCCATCCCAGTCCCTTCCCTGGGCTGGTCCCGGCCCTGACGCCAGGTCTGTCTCGGCCCCGTCTCCAGCCCCGTCCCCTCCCCAGGCCCCTGCTGCGCACGTGTGGGTCAGTGTGGAGGCCACAGGCCCCCGGGGAGGGGACAGCACCACAGCAGCCACACCTGTCCGCGGTGGGCGGGGGGCGTGAGGGGAGGAGCGGGGACAGAGGGGGACAGAGGAGGGCGTCCCTGTGCCGGGGGCTGACTCTGGGGAACACGTGCCTGCGGATGTGGGGGTGTGTCCGCCTGGGCAGCGTCACCCCTCGTGGTGCCGAGACAGACACAGCCCGAGAGGGAGAAGTGTGAGGGTGCGAGAGAGTCTGAGTGTGAGGTGTGCGAGAGGGGGTGAGTGTGAGGATGCACACGTGTCGGGGTGAGCGGGTGTGAGTCTGTGAGGATGCGCGTGTCAGGGTGATCGGGTGCGAGGATGAAGATGCGTGCGTGTCGGGGTGAGAAGCGTGTGAGTGAGTGGGTGTGCGTGTTGGGGTGGGCGGGTGTGAGACTGTGAGGATGCGCGTGAGGATGCGTGTGTCAGGGCGATCGGCTGTGAGTGTGAAGATGGGTGCACGTCAGGGCGAGAGGCGCGCGAGTGAGCAGGTGTGAGTCTGTGAGGATGCGCGTGTCGTGTCGGGGTGAGCGGGTGTGAGGAGCGTGAGGGAGGTGGCCCTGCCCAGGTCCCTGTCAGCCGCCCGGGGCCCGACAGAGCGACAGGCGGCTGGCCCCGGGTGCCAGGGCCGCGCCCGCGGGAGCGTCCGGAGGCCGAGGAGTACCTAGAAGTTTCTTACTGTCCAGTTTCTGCCGGTTGAGGGGGTTGGTGCCGTAGAGCAGGGCGTGCGCCTCCGAGTGCACCGTCTGCAGCTCCTCCAGCGTGGCCTTGCGGCCCCGGATGCACTGCGGAGACAAGCGCGCTCACAGCGCGGGCACGCGCACGGCACGGGCACGCGCAAGCTCAGAGCACGTGCACGCGCACGCGCACGGCACGAGACACTCACACCACGGGCACGTGCACAACGAGACGCTCACTGCGCGGGCACGTGCACGCTCACAGCACAGGCACGCGCACGGCACGAGACGCTCACTGTGCGGGCACGCGCACGCGCACACTCACAGCACAGGCACGCGCATGGCAAGAGCCGCTCGCTGCGCGGGCACGCGCACAGCACGGCAGGCTGCGGAGCCCCAGGAGGCCCGGCCCAGCTCGCCCCTAGCCCGGCCAGCAGCAGCGGCTCCGGGAGCCCCTCCCGGGGTCCCTCTTCCTCTTCCTGCGAGGGGCGCCTGCGCTGGAGGCCCCCGTGAGGCACATGCTATGCGGGGGGAGGGGGGGGGGGTCGCTGGCGGGAAGGGGGGGAATGGGCAGGGAGAGGCAGGGAGGGCGGCCGGGGCTTCCTTCCGGTCAAGCCCCCATCCAGCCGGCCCAGCTCTGGGTGCCGTAAGCAGCGACCTCCCTGTCCAGGGGCTGAGAGGGGACCCCAATCCCTAGTTCCCAGCTGGGGGCTCATCTGGAGGGATATGGGGGTCTTGTCCAGCGCCAAAGCCTGTGTCCACCAGAGCTGAGTGACCTGGGGCCTTACGCGGGTGGGACGAGCACTGTGGCCCAGGGGCCGACCTGTGTCCGCGCCCCACCTGTCCTGTCCACTGCTGAGCAGGTTCCAGCCTGACCCAGGACCCTAGTCCTGTCCCGAGGGGCCTCCGGCCATGGGCCTGGATAGGGGGTGGCTGTGGGAGCCGCTGTTTCTCTCTGTTGGGGGGGTCCTCAGAGCCCCCGTCCCCCATCCCGGGACACAGTGTCTGAGAGGTCACGGGGACCCCAGCGGCTGCGGGGGGGAGTCGGCACTCACTGCCCAGTCTTGGGGCGATGCTGCCCCCCAGTGGTGTGTGGCCTTGGCCACCAGCGGGTGCCAGTGGGCTCCTTGGGCACCAGGGGACCAGGGTCAGGGGACGGCACCTGCACTCAGCTTCCAGGCCCACCCTCCAGCCCCCCATACCCGGGGAAGCAACGGGGAGCGATTTAGGGGGCCCACGTCCAGCCTCCATGTGTCCTGGGGGCTGGGGGGGCGGTCAGGGAGCGGGGCCACCTTGGGGATCGCCCTGCACACCGGGGGCCGGCCACAGCTGGGCGTGCAGGGGCGGGGAGGGCAGGGCGGGCAGGGGCGCGGCCGGCTCACCTCGCACTTGCTGCGCAGGCCGGTCTCCTGCAGCCGGGACCAGATGCTCTGGATGCGGCCGGCATGCTCGGGGTGGGTGCTGCTGCTGCCGCAGGCGCATTGGTGCTTCAGCATGAGAGTGTCGTACACCAGGCCTGTGGGCAGGGCCGGCTCAGCGCCCGGGTGGGCCCGTGCCCAGGGGTGCCCCGCAGCCTCCCCGGGAGCGAGGGCCTGGTGGGGTGCCGCCGTCCCCGAGAGGCAGGTTAGAGAGGGGACCTGTCGCTGCCGTGACCATGGCCACGGCGGCCTCGTGTCTGCGGGGGTGGGGGGGACACTGAGTGCCCAGCAGAGCCGGGATGACAGAAGGGACCCAAGTGTGGGCACAGCCGCGGCAGCAGAGGGGCAAGGCCGACTCGCAGGTCATGACCCGACACACGTGCAGGGACCCACGGGGGAGGCAGGAGCAAGTGGAGTGGCCCCTGTGTCCAATGGACACCCCCAGCGGCCACCTCTGTGGTGCCGACAGGGACCCTCTGGTTTCCGTGCCTGCAGCCACACGAGCTTTATACAGTGGTAACAGCAGAAAAGGGGTCTGCGCCCGCCACTTGGTGCGGCTATCCGGGAAGTGACCCCTCCGCTAGTGACCCCTGCCCTGGGAGGAGCCCGGGGTGCCCTTGGTGGCTGTCTGGTTTTCTTCTGGACAAGGGGTGATTCAGTGTGTGGACGGTGTGGGTGGACGGGGTCCCTCTGATGGCAAAGACAGGCTGGATGCGGGAGGCCTGTCCAGGCCTGTCCGGCTCAGGGGCAGCACACTGGGCCCCTCCTGTCCTGGCTGGGCAGAGGGGACAGCAGGGAGCAGATTGCCCCGGCAGCCCGTGTCCTGCTGCGGGTTTCCTGGCCGTGGCAGGGGTGTGGCGGGCAGTGTGGGATGCCCACGGGGCCAGGGGGACACCTGACCGCGCAGCCGCCCGCCCCTGCCGGCCCTGCACTGTACCTGTGGTGAACCTGGGTTTCGGGGGCGGCTCCTGCACAGACATGGGGAAGGTGGCGGACGCCGGGGAAGACTGCGCTCGGGACAGAGGCCGGTGGCCGCCGAAGGACACGGGGATGCCGGCAGCCTCCATGGAGGCCTGGTAGTTCCTCAGCTGGTGGATCCGCTGCTGCTCCAGGAGGAGGGCTTGCTGCGGACAGAGCGGCGGGTCAGAGGGCGCCCCATCTGCTCGCTGTCCCCTGCCACCTGCCTGCCCACACCCACGGCCAGCTGAGGAAACACGGCGGGTGCGGGCCCTGACCGTGAGGGCCGTGAGGACGCGGGCCCTGCCCCTGGGTCTCGGGGGACGTCTCCATCCCGGCTCGGAAATGAAGCAGGGAGTTCGGGACCACGCGGGCAGGAGTGTCTGGAGGACCTCCGGGGGTCCTGCAGCCGGCCCTGCCAGCTCCCCTCTGGGGGCTCCCTGCTCCCGGGCTTTCCTGGGCCACCCCTGCCTGGCCCTCTGCTACTAGCTCTGCTGCCCTCCCTCGCTGGCCCTGACCTCAGCAAAGAACCTGGCCCAGGGGTGCGGGGCTGCCCTTGGCAGGTGCCGAGACCCCCCTAGGATGGATGGACGGGCCAACTGGGCACGACCAACGTGAGACACGGCAGCCGCCTCCGCGGGCATCCCTGGGGCGGGTGTAGGCCGAGCCCCGCGCTCACTTCCTTCCACCACTACCCTGGGCGCAGGGGACCCGTCTCAGAGGTCCTGCCCAGCCGTCACGGCCCCTCGCCTCATGCCCTGACCCAAAGCCCCACCCTGCCAGGTCCCGGCCACGTCTTGAGCTCCGCCCTCGCTGCCCGCCAAAGGACCGGCCTCCACGCACGCACTCGGTCTAGACTCCTCGGCTCCGCCCCTCCCAAGCCCCGCCCCTCCGGTCAGCCCCGCCCCCTGCCAGCCCCGCCCTCTCAGCCTTGTCTTTCCTATTCTGGACCCGCCCCTCCTCTCGACCCCGCCCCGACCCACTTTCCCCAGCCCCGCCCTCTCACCTCGACTCCACCCCGCCCCTTGTAAGCCCCGCCCCTAGCCAGCCCCGCCCCCAGTCCTGAGTTTCCCATTCTTGGCCCCGCCCCTCCTCTCAACCCCGCCTCTTTCGCCAGCCCCGCCCCTCCTCCACCCTATCCTCTTGGCCCCGCCCTCATTCCCTGTCGGCCCCGCCCCGTTGGCCCCGCCCCCCTCCCCGCACCTGTCGGAAGAGCAGCTCCTGCTCGCTGGGCTGGCGCTGGCCCGGCTCTGCGTCCCGCGGGGGCTCGGCCTCCTCCTCGTCGCTCTCGATGGGCTCCTGCTTCACCTGCACCCCGGCCAGGCCGTGCGGCTCCGAGTGGGCCCCCAGCCGGTCCAGGAAGGGCTCCTCGGGCAGGGCCTGGTGCTCGCGCAGCTCCTCCTCCGTCTCCTCGGGGTGGCTCTCGGGCTGCCGGGCCGGCTCGCTGGGCTTCGGGATCATCTGCAGGGCGTGGCGGGTGTGAGGGTTGCACTATGTGGGCACCGGGCCGGGAAGGAGCAGGGGCAGAGTAGGGGGGTGGCGCCTGCCCTCGCTGGCCACCCCGCGAGGCCAGGGATGGGCGGTGGGCCTGCAGGGAGAGGGTGGCCATGCAGGCAGGGGCGGCGACCAGCGAGGCACGCAGTGGGCTGGCGGCTCCCACAGAGCCATGCCAGTGGCCCTGCAGAGCTGAAAGCAGGGACCCAGGGCCACGGCTGGAGATGGACCCCCAGCTCCCAGCGGAGCCTTCCTGCAAGCTCGGGATCCCGGGGCCAGGTCCCAGGTCATCCCAGTGGCTCTGGGGCACTGCTGAGGGCAGGCAGGAGGCAGCAGTCTGGGGTCCTGCCCGCCCATGGGCAGTAGGGGGTGCGAACATGATCCCGCAACACAGCAGTTGGGCACAGGGCAGGGCCAAGCACGGGGCAGGGGGAGGTCCTGGGAGGCTGGACAGTGGGGGCCAGCACAGCTCCATCCCCAGCACTGCTGGGAGGACCAAGCACGAGCACTCCTTACTGTCCAGACCTCACCTGGCCAGACCCCGTGGCGTGGGGCCGGTGCCCGCCAGGGGGGCTGCGGGGAGCCTGGCACCCACCTTGCCGAGGTGCAGCTGCTTCTGCTTCTCCAGGAAGTGCTGGTGCTGCTGCTGGACCACGAGCTGCTGCAGGGCCTGCGTGTTCTGGGGCAGCGGCGCCGACTGCGTGCGCCCCAGCGGCCGGTGCTGCCGCAGCTTGTGCATGGACGGGGACACGCGCTCGGCCCCCACCAGGGACTGTGCGTGCAGGGGCAGCGCGCCCAGGCCTGCGTGGGGGACACGGGGGTGTGGTCACGCGGTGACACCCCTGCCCCCTCCCTTGGACGGCCATGGCCCTGGCCCCACGGAGGGCGCGCCGGCGCCGGGAAGAGCCGGGGGAGGTCATGGAGCAGATCGGCAGGGGGACAGGAGAGCTGGCCGGGGACAGGGACGGGAGTGGACATGGAGGGACTCAGACGGGGAGTGGGGGACGCAGAGATGGGGAGTGGGGGGGACGCAGGGACGGGCAGTGGCGAGAGAGGATGTGGTTGGTGCCCAAGTCTGTCCCAGAGACTTTGTCCCAAACGTTCCAGAGACACAAAGCAACCCTGAGAAGGGGCATCATGTCGGATGACCTACAGCCCCAAGGCCCCAGACGGGTCTGCCCCAACCCCGGGGTCTGTCCAGGACGAGTCTGCCCAGTGTCAGGGTCTGTCCGGGATGGGTCTGCCCCACTGCCAGGGTCTGGGGCGGGATCTGCCTAATGCCGGGTCTGCACCCAATGCCAGGGGGGTCTGCCTGGGATGGGGCCTGGTCTGTGCTGGCAGAGAACTCTCAGGGCAGACCCAGGGTCCTGGCTTCCTCTCATCCTCTCTTCCTTCCCGGAGCCCATGTCCAGCCGCCCGCCCTGGCCCCGCCTCCCTGGCGCCCCCACTCACCGGCGACCAGGGGCGACTGGGCGGTGGGCGGTTCCAGGAGGACCATGTGCGGCAGCAGCGGGTTGTGGGTGCCGTCCCGCTCCAGGGGTGCCGTGCCCAGGTAGGGGGGCAGGTGCGTGCCGGGGAAGAGAGGGAGGCGCTGCGGCAGGCCAGGCAGGGCCAGGCGCTCTACGTCTTGCTGGCCGGCCGCGCCCTGCGGAACACAGGCAGCGCTCAGGGGGGCCGGGGGCCGCCCACCCGCCCGCCCTGCTCAGACCCCCACTCACCGCCGAGGGGCCCGTGGCCGGCAGCCCCAGCGTGATGTTGGGCAGAGACGGCGACGTGTAGAGGGGCAACGGCGCGGCCTCGCGCCCCACCAGTCTGTGTGCCAGGCCGGCCTGCGGGGAGAGACGCCGTCACGCCGGGAGGGCCGCGGGGACCCACCAGCAGCCCTTGGCCAGCGGATGCCCACCAGGGGCTCTGTCCGGCGCAGCCCCACTAACAGCCACCGAGAGGCAAAGGGCCAAGGCCGAGACAGCCATGAGTCAGGGGCACGGAGTGACCAGGAACACGTCAGAGGCCGTGACGCCAGGACAGGGACGTGCCCGGGCCTGAGCTCTGCCCTGGGACGTCCCCGGCCAGGGGACGGTGAGCGGGGGCTGCTGCAGGAGTGTGTTGATGAGGAGACATCACCAGGGAGGCTGGGGGACGCCGTGACACGAGGAGCCTCGCCACGAGACCCAGTGCAAGCAGGAAGCGTTTCTGACTGCAGCCACACTGGGATGGGGACATCTCTGCCCAGGGTGTGTGGCCACTGTCCACCTCGCTGGCTGGGGCTGCCAGAGGGCGCCCGGTCTCGATGTCAGAGGACAGGAAGCCCCAAATGCCCCCCCTCCGACATGAGACCAGGAGAGGCCACTGGCTGAGGGAGCGTGCGTCAGGACGGGTCGTGGTGCCCAGCGGGACACGGAGCTCCAGGCTCGGGTCCAGGAATAAGGACCCGATGCGTGCCCGTGGCCGCCAGCGTGACTCATGGCCAAGGCCACTGCGTGTGTGAGGCCCGGGCAGCAGGGCAGGGGTGTGGCCCGTGGGGGTCTGTGGGGCCGGCTGAGGCAGGCAGTGACGTGGGGCGCACCCGGGCTGCCTGAGAACGGCACTTCCCGTTGGCCAGGGCAGGAGGGGCGGGCTGCCCCCGGGACCCCCGGAACCCCACCAGGCAGCAGCTCTGCACCTCAGCCCATCCTGGGGAAATGGGGATCACGTGGCAGCGCCGCCCAGCCCCAGCCCGGGGGAGACCAGGTGGGCCCCGAGACACTGGACTCAGGGAGCGGAGAGAATGAGGGAGGCAGGTCCACTCTGGCCAGGCAGCCGGACAGCTGTCCTGTCGCCCGGCAGCGCGCGAACCAGCTTCTGGGGGTCCCTGGGTCTGCCCACTGCCCCCCATCCGCGCGGGAAGCCTGCAGGCACATGCTGGGTGCTGGGTGTGGAGGGGCGGGTGGGCGCGGGACCCGAGTCGAGTGGCGAGTGGGCACTGACCTCGGCGGGGACGCTGGGCACCGTGGGGGCGAGGCCGTTCTCCGTGCTGACGTTGCCCGAGCTGTTGTTGGGGGAGCTGGGCCCCGAGCCGGGCGCGCTGCTGCAGGCCGAGTCTGCGGGACGAGGGGGTGAGCCGGCCCGCCCCGCCCCAGGACCCCCACCCGGGACCCAGCCCGTGAAGCCCCGCGTGGGCCTTGCCGGGGAGGGGCGCCCACAGGCCCGTGGTGCACTTCTGCCGCTCGGCAGCCAGAGGGCGCCCAAGAGCAGCCGAGAGCAGGTCAGGAGGGGGGTGCAGACAGGCCAAGCGTCCCCTGGAGGACGGGGCCGGGGCCAGCCCCCCAGGCCACTCACCAGGCACGTCCAGGGGCCGCTTCTTGAGTGCGGTGACCACGGGCCCGCCCTTCCTCCGCAGCAGCGGGCTGCTCCGCCGCTCAGCCACCTTCTGCTTCAGCCGCGAGCGCAGCTTCAGGTTGGGCTCGGAGGCTGCGGGCGGCGGACGGTCAGCGGGGGCCTGGGCCGACCACCGGGCCCACCCGCCACACGGCCCGGGGCAGCAGTGGGACTGAGTGCAGCTCCCGAGGGCCGGGCTTTCTGGCCTCCCGCCCCGCACCTTGGCCGCTCCTACTGACCCGCGGGGCTGAGATCCCCCACTAGAAGCCCCCAGGGGCGCCTCGGGGGGATGCCCCAAGGGGCAGGACTCAGGAAGGCATGAGGCCCAGTCCCTGGGGGCAGCGCCACACCCAACACATCTGAAGCGAGTGCATGCGCGCGCGCGTGTGTGTGTGTGTGTGTGTGTGTGTGTTTCTGTCTGTGTGTATGTCTGTATCTGTATGTGTGTGCGTCTCTGTTTCTATGTCTGTATGTGCATCTGTGTCTCTGTGTGTATCTCTGTGGTTATCTATGTATCTGTGTGTCTATGTGTGTACATGTGTCTGTGTCTCTATGTGTATCTATGTGCAACTCTATGTGCCTGAGTGTGTGTGTGTGTGTATGTCTTGAAGTGACCGGGCAGGGGGCCCTGCCCTTGCCCCTACCCTCCCTCCCACTCCCCTGTCTGGGACTCGGGCCAGGGCCCTGCTGGACGTGGCCAGTGCCCCCTGGGCCAGCCCCTGTGAGAGCAGACTGAGATCAGACGCTGCTGGGCACGTGGCAAGAGGCTCGCTCGGCCCAGACTGGGGAGACCCCGACCTGCTGTGACCTGAGCCCCCTGGAGCTTGGCTTACAGGGCCTGCCAGGCTGGGCCAGGTGGGGGACTCCCCCCTCCCTCCGTCCGTTTGTCCAGGGTCTCCTGGTCAATGGGGCGTATGGGAGGGCGGTGCCGCTTCCTCTGCCCGGTTGGGCCACGCGGGAGAGACCGCCCGTCCTCTGAGGAGTCGCCAGGAGGTGGGGGCGGGCGGGGCCATGACCCAGGCCTGCAGCTCCCTGGTGTGAGGCGGCAGCATCTGGCCGACACGGCCACGGAGTCCCAAGTGCCCCCAGATCGTGAGGCAACAAGCGCGGGGTGGTGGGCCCGAGCCACAAGCCCAGCAGGTCCTCGGGCTTCCCGGGATGTCTCTGAGCAGCCACCAGGCAGTGGCACCGAGCCCATGTGGCTGCGGGGTGGGCGCAGAGGGGTGGGGCCAGGAGCGACTGGCTGGTCCGTGTGCTCAGGACCGACCCTGTGCGGGGTCTCTGCCACCCTCCCAGCCTGGGACGCACTCAGCTGCAGTGGACTGCTGGCGTCCTGCCAGGCGTGGGCAACGGGGCCCACCGCGCCAACCAGCCTGATTGTGGGAGGACGCCTTCCTGCTATGAGAAGCGCTTGGGAAGTGCCACGTCCAGCCAGCCACCCAGGGCCCTGTACCACCCACCAGGCCCACCCCGGGGCCCAGGGTCCGGGCCGGGACAGTGAGCCGACAGCGGGCGGGAGCGGCTGTCTGCTGCAGGAGGGGTGCAGGGAGGACCCTCCCAGGGGCAGCACACACAGCAGCAGCCTCTGGCCTGCCCGCAGAGCCTCCCCGCTGCCCTCCCGAGACACTGTCCCCTCTCCGTGTGACGTGCTGTGTCCCCCCTCCTCCCCGACGCTGCCCGGCGCCCGCCCACCTGTCTTGCGCAGCGGGAAGTCATCCTTGGCGTCGTACATGCCCAGGAGTGGGTGCTGGTAGGAGGCCGATGCCCCGCTCTGCGGCGGGGAGCTCTGGTCCAGCGAGCTGTGCTGGGTCTTCCTGGAGGGGGCGGCGGGCGCTGAGCGCGGGCGGGGCCAGGGCAGGGCCGGGGCGGCCCGGGGGACGCAGGGGCCAGGCGGTCACTCACCCGTACCAGTAGCGCGGGTCGCTGGTGATGCAGTGGTTCAGGCTCCTCTGGGCCAGCGCCTTCTTCTTGTTCAGGACGAACTCCTGCAGCTTCAGCTTCACCTCCGTGCTGGCCACGGCGCCTGCGGCAGCAAACGTGTTGGGCAGGGGTACGGGGGGCGGGTGGATGGGGGGTGGGATGGGGCGGGACACGGGACGGGACAGGTCTGGGCAGGACAGAACATGGGGCAGGACAAGGCGGATGGGCACCCAGGGCCCTCCACAAGGCCCCGCAGGGGATCCTCCCTGGAGCTCGGGACACAGTGCTCGGCTGCGGCGGCCACCAGCAGGACAGACGCAGTGTCTGCGTGAGGAGGCGGCAATGGAACCTCCCAGGACGGTGTGGAGGGTGGCCAGGGCCACGCCAGCCGTGAGGGCCATGGGGAGCGATGCCCCCTCCCTTGGCCCTGCTGAGACCCCCTTCTTGCCCACCAATGGCGCTCTGGGGCCCAGAGCAGGGCAGTGCGGGGAGAACCACCCAGGGTGATGCCAGGGCAGGAAAGAGAGTGACCACTGGGCAGCCGCCATAGGCAGCGGTGAACCCTGCACCCTTCACTGGCTGGCACAGCACAGACCATGGCGGGGCTGGCGGCTGGACCCACTGCTCATGGGCAGGGTGGCAGGAGCCAGAGGGGTGCTGCCAGTCCCTGTGCCTCACCGCATGCAGACAAACCCACTGTGCCACGCCACCACACAGCTCCGTGCCCGCCCACGTCCAGTTCCGGCGCCTCCCGCAGGGGCAGCAGGACCCAGACGGGCAGAGCGGGGCCCTCGGGAAAGGCTCCCGGTGCGCAGGCTAGGCCAGGGAGGGAAGCGGGGCCCAGCCTGGCACTAGCCGGGCCCAGCGTGAGGGTTGGGCCCAGGTCCAGGGCATGGGGTCCTGACACCCCCTGTCCATGAGTGACCCCAGTCCTTGTGACCCTCGGTGACAGGCCCACGTGGCCTGTGACGGGTATGCGGGCACCGAGAGGGAGGAAGCACCTCCTGCAGGGAATGGTGGACCGTGTCCTCCATCTGGGTCAGGGAGAGCACAGCGGGCACTTGGCAGTCTACACCCGCGGTCTACACCCATGGTCTATGCCCGTGGTCTATGCCCGTGGTCTATATCCACGGTCTGCACCCACGGTCTAACCATGGTCTATACTCACAGCCTACACCCACGATCTACATACGTCTGTATCTACAGTCTACACCCATGTTCTAACCAGTGTCTATCCCCAGTCTGCATCCAAAAATCTAGATTTTTTTTTTCCGCTTTTCGGGTCACACCCAACAATGCACAGGGGTTACTCCTGGCTCTGCGCTCAGGAATCACCCCTGGCGGTGCTCAGGGGACCATATGGGATGCTGGGAATCGAACCCGGGTCGGCTGCGTGCAAGGCAAACGCCCTCCCCGCTGTGCTATTGCTCCAGCCCCACGCATCCCAAATCCAAACCCACCATCTATACCCACGGCCGGTCGACACCAGGGCTAGCTGAGCTGCCCTGCGCCACTGAGTGCCGGAGACCAGCGCGGTCAGCGGACCAGAGAGGAGGGGGCCTGTGACGATGCACTGTCCCCCAGCCTGGCTGCTGGGAGGGAGAGTCGGGGCCACGGGGCTCAGGCTTAGACGGATCCCAGGGCCGCGCTGGGGCACACACCAGGGGTGGGACCGAGACAGGGTCAGGCAGACAAGGGTGAGTGACGAGGTCAGGCGGCCACACAGTGGGGGGACAGGAGGGGCGGAAACACAGCGAACAGAGCCACAGGGCAGAGGCAGCAGACCACTGTGGGGCTGGGGAGGGGGTTCAGTGGGCCTCGGGCGGACGGTCAGTGGGGGCTGGCCCGGGCGCGGGGGCGGCTGCGCTCACTCTCTTTGCCTTTCTCCTTGTTCTTCAGCTGCTGCAGCTTCTGCTCACGGTGCTGCTTCTCCAGCTCCTGCTCCTGCCGGTGCCTCTCCAGCTTCCGCTGGTGCTCGAGCAGCTCCTGCTGGTGCTTCAGGGCCAGCAGCTCCTGCTGTTGCTGTGGCGGGGACACGCGGTCAGCGGCCGCCTGCCCGGCGGAGGGGTCTGGCTCGGGCAGGGCTGACCCCCGACGGCACGGGCGGGCGGCCCTGGAAACCCGGGGTGCCGCTGACCGTCTGCCCGGGGCACCACGCTGGGAGTCCCTGAGCCGGGTGGACGCGTCCCTGAGCGACCCGAGGCTCATGCACGAGACCCCGCGGCGGCCACCTTCAGTGAGAGCGGGAAAGGGGGTTGAGCCCACAGCCCAGAGTCGAGCAGTGCCCTGCTCCTTCCACCAGGGGGCACTGCCCGGAGCCCTGCAGGAGCCGGAGCCCAAGCAGCCCCGCACAGACACACGACACACATCCACACTCACACACACTCACAGCCACACTCACACACACCCACACCTACCCACAGACACACAACACATACCTGTACTCACATAGTCCCACAGACACACACCCACACTCACACACACCTACAGACTGCACACAACACACACCCACACACAGACCACACACACACACACACACACCCACAGACACACAACACACACCTGTACTCACATACTCCCACAGACACACACCCAGACACACACGACACACCCACACTCACACACACCTACAGACCACACACGACACCCGCACCCACAATTACCCACACACTCCCACACTCACACACCCACCCACAGACACACACCACACCCACACACAGACCACACTCACATCCACCCACAATCAGGTTCCGGAGCTGGACTGGAGCCCTCGCCCAGAGCCAACAATGCAGCCCAGCTCTGGCGAGGGCGGAGGCTGGGGAAGGTGTGTCCGGCCTCCAGGGAGTGGCACTGGCCTGGGCACCGGCCTCTCGTGGCCACGCCAGCAGGGCCCTGGGCCTGTGTGCATGAGGCAGGCGCCCAAGGCTGTGCCACCCCGCAGAACGCCTGCTCTGCCACACACACGTGGGCACAGGGGCCCGTGCTGGGGCCTGGCTGAGGGTGGCAGCTCTGACCCGCTTCTAGACACCCGTCTGCTTGTGCTCCTCCCGCCCGGGGTCCAGATCCCCAGCTCAGCCCCTGCCCCAGCCCCATGCTGGCCGCGCAGTCTGCACCCCTGAGCTGCCCTCCCATCCCTCGCCCCAGTGCCCTGCTAATCAGCTGGCCGTGGGCACGCGGCGGTCCTGAGGCACGAGCACCCGCAAGGCCAGCCCGCAGCCCCCGCGGTCGGGAAGGGGGCGCCCTCCATGCTACAGCACAGGCAAGGCGGGAAGTGAGCAGCCAGAGACTCCCGGTCTCCAAAGTCCCATCCCCACCCACGCAGGAACACGCGGGCGGGCGCACAAGGGACACAGGGACACGGCCGTGAGATGCGGGGACGGAGGCAGAGGCTGGGACACCCGTTCTTCTGGGCCCCGTGACACTGGGGCACAATGATTGACAGCTTGAGGCTGTGGGCGGAGGGGAGGGGTGGCGAGGCACCCACGGAGCTCAGTGGGGAGACGCGGCCGACGGCCGGCTGAATGAGCGGTGCCCTGGTCAGCCTGGGCCTGAGCCACGCGTAGGCCCAGGGACACCCCTGGCTCCACCAGCCCCTCTGGGACCGAAAAATCTGTGGCCACTTGGCTCTTGGGTGCCAGGCAGGGACATCCCGGGGGCCCTGGAACCGGGAAGCCTGGCCCTGCACGTTTACTAGGGTGTGGTCCTGCTTGTGTCAGTGGTACTGTGTGTCCGTGGTCATGCCTGTGAAATGGGCCCTGCACGTGTTTGTGGCCCTGCGCGTCCTAGATGTGTCAGTAGCCCTGCACATGTCCTACGTGTGTTTGTGGCCCTGCGTGTCCGAGGCCCTTTGTGTCTAAGGTGTGTCCATGCCCTGCATGTCCGAGGTGTATCCATGCCCAGCATATCCTAGAAGTGTCCGTGGCCCTGCACGTCCTAGGCATGTCATGGTTCTGCATGTCCTAGGCGTGTCTGTGGCCCTGCGCATGTCCTAGGCGTGTTCATGCCGTGTGCCCTAGGCATGTCCTAGGCGTGTTCATGCCCTGCATGTCCTAGTCCTAACGTGTCCTAGTCATGTCCGAGGCGTGTCCTGGGCGTGTCCGAGCCCGCTCACCTTGATGTGCTCGTGCAGCTGGGCCTCATGCTGCCGCGACAGCTGCTCGTGCTGCCGCTGGAACTCGGCGATGAGGATCTGCCGCTGCAGCTGCTGCTTCTGCTTCAGCGCCAGGAGCTCCTGCTGCAGCTGCTGCTCCCGCAGGCCGGGCTCGGCCACAGGCAGCGAGAAGGGGTGGTCCAGGCGCAGGTCCATGGGCACGGCCGGGGGGGCCACCTGCAGGGGCAGCGCCGAGGCCACATCCACTGCGGGGAGAGCACACACGGCGGTCACCGGCTCAGACACGGCACCCTTGTGGTCTGCCCCGGCACGGCGGCGACTTCTGGGACGCCCTGTCCCCTGGCGGGCTGCACGTGCGTGACACCCTCGGCCCCTGCATGCAGGTGCCAGCCGGCCCTGTTCCCCAACTGCCAGACGGGCACCCCGACTCGGGGGGTGGCACGTGTGGGCGCGAGCCCGCTTGGGCAGCGGGCTCTGGACCCCTGGTGCTGTCAGTGGACGCAGGTCCTTGCCCTTCCTCAGACACACCAAAGCAGAAATGAGATGACCAGGAGACCTGCCCTGCGCAATGTGGGGGAGAGGAGGAGGGTCCCGAGTACTCACTCTAGACCCCCAGGACGCCCCAGCTGTCCTGAGCAGAGGGAACCTGGTGCCCCCAACTGTCCTGGTGCGTGTGCAGGCCCGGACCTGGCTGACCTCAGCCGCGGACACAACGGGGTGGGGGGGATGTGAGGACCCTCATGGCGACCTTCCCCTGGTCGTCCCTGCCCAGGAAACCTTGGGGTCCCCGAGATCCAGGGGCTGGAGCAGCGAAGCCGGGTCTTGTCAGCACCCGACGCGGGCCTTGGATGGGGCTGGCACCCGGACGCCTGGAAGCTGATCCGCCAAGTGGAAGCCAGCAAGGCCCACAGCGGCGGCGGCAACCAGCAGGCTGGAGGCAGGGCGGGGGTGGCTGTGGGGGGCCTGGGGGTCACGGGAGAGCGGCCGGCAAGGGGGGCAGGCCAGGGGCGCCGCGGTGCGTCACGGTGACGCCGTGACTATTTCCGTCCCCAGCCCGGCCCGAGAGGTCGCAGGGAGAACAAGGGCCCTTCTCTGCCCAAGAATGCGGGGGCCCAGCTGGAGCGCCGGTCTCCGTGGGCGTCCACGGGCATGGCCGGGCCTGACGTCAGTGCACACAAAGGAGGCTTCAGGGCCCGAGGCAAGGACGCCGTCCCACTCCGTCCGCCACGGGACGGTGCTGCTGGGCACAATCACGGCCTGGCCGCACCCGAGCACCCGCTGCCCGGCCGGTGCCTCACACGCGCGTCACAGCCCCTGCCCTCACGGTGCGGCTGGCAGGGCACGCCGCGAACACGGGGACAGGGCAGGTGGCTCCCGTGGGCACGGGCTATGTCTGCCGAAAGGCCCTGCACGTGCCGGCTGGATCTGACCCGACGCTCCATGTGGTCCCCGAGCCCCGCCAGGAGTGATCGCGCGATGTGGCGAAAAGCAGGGACGGACCTGCCCTTGTGTGTGTGTGTCTGCCACAGTGCACCTTCCCATGGGTGTGTATGTGTGCGTGTGGGTGTGTGCGTGTGCCTGCCACGGGTGTGTGTGCATTTGTGTGTTTGTGCGGGTGTGTGTGCGGGTGTGTGTGTGTGTGCCTGCCATGATGCACATGCCCGTGTGTGTTTGTGTGTGTGTGTGCAGGTGTGTCTGTCCAAGTGCACCTGCCCACATGTGCCCGCCACAGTGCAGCTAGTCGTGTGTGTTTTGCTACAATGAACCTACGTGTATGTGTGTGCAGACACATGTGCGTGGCAGGGTCTGCATGCCTATATGCATAAGCAAGCAGCGTGTGGATAATGTGCATGGGGCGTGTGCATGCGTGTTGCGGGGTGTATGGAAGGGTGCAGCCCCCAGACACTGTCCTTGTACCTTCAGCCCACATGGATACACACACCCGGACCACACACGTACCCATGTCCTCCTCACACATCTCCCCTCCGCGCCCCCCTCCAACCCCCACACACAGCCCTGGGTCCCTCAGAGCAGCCCCCACAGAGGTCAGAACCCCCGACCCTCTCCCCAGGCGGGGCTTCGCCTAGATGCTGGCTGACACCCGAGGGCTGGGTGGGGGGGTTCCTGCTGCACCCGGGTCTCCGGTGACAAGCTGGGGAGAGAAATCGGGCAGCTGAGAGCGGCAGGAAGTGCCACGACAGGCCAGCATGGGGGAACATTGCACGTGGCCAGACACGGGAGCGGGGCCCGAGGGCAGTGGCCAACGAGTGCCCCCGGAGCAGGGGAAAGGGCAGACACATCTCAGCCACTTTCTAAGAACTGGGGGGTCCAAGAAGCAACCCACACCTTAACAACGGTTCAAACGCAGAGACCGTGGGAAACGTGTGTGTCAGACACGCAAACCTCCGCCCGCATTCCGCAGAAAACGGGCAGATTTCAGTGTTTGTATCCGAGGATGAGGCTATACAAATAAACAAGCTCGATCTAGCTTCAAGAAATGAGAACACAACAGCAAGCCCAAGGAAAACAGATGGAAGAAATAACAAATACATAAATGAAATTCAAAAGATCCACTACATATGTTCATTTCAACCAGCACAATGAGAAACTGGTTCTTCGTAAAGACCAACAAAACAGGAAAACTTCTGACAGAGGTGTTTACAGAGTGGGAGAAAGGGCGCAAATTCAGAATCCCGGGGACTCAGAAGAGCCCGCAACCCCACCTTCCTCTTTCAAACTGCAAGAAACCAGCCAACGGCCTGTTGTCTTTAAAAACAACACAAAGCAGACAAGTTCTCACAAAATGTTTCCCGAGCTGTTGAAAACAGAAAACAGCACGATCCCGTGATCACAAACGAAACTGCGTCAGTACTTCTAAAACCTTTCCACCAAGGTAAGCACGAGAGGCGGTCCCGTCGAACTCTCGACTCGACGTTCAACTCCTGTGCCCCCTCACGAAAACTCAGCAAGAAACGCACGGCTCAGCCCCTGGTACCAGGGAGACAGCCGAAAGCCTCGTTATGAAAACCAAAGGACACAAAGGAGAAGCAAGTGCCCGGGCCACAAACACAGCCACGAGAATGCCAATGAACCTGTGGGCAGAACAGGGAGGGTCAGGCCAGAGGGACCCCATGTGGCCGCCGGGGAGCACGTCGGGGGCCACAGGGACGGTGAGGGCAGTTCCCGGGCCCGGAGCGGGCTGTGGGTGCGGAGAGTGTGAGGACCTTGGCCACGAGGCGGTCAGGTGAGCAGGGGCCGAGCGCTGCCCAGGGAGGTCACCCAGCGGGGCTGGGGGACACAACAGAGAAGCCACCCAGGGCGTCCCTGGCCTCTGGACCAGGATGGACGCCGCAGTGGCCATGGTCTGCGGGGAAGGTGCGGCCGCTCCCCGCAGCAGGGAGCAGAGGGAGCCTGCAGGGAGGAAGCCCATCGCCGCCCCCAGGGACCCAGATGGGAGGACCCGAAAGGAGGCCCCGTGGCCGAGCGTGAAGAGCTGGGGGCCTGGGAACCTGCCAGGGCCCCTCCCCCCGTGTGTCCCCCTGCACCTGCCCCTGCCACACCCACCCCTGCACATGCCCCCGCCACACCTCCCCCCTGCGCATGCCTCCCCCCACGCCTCTCCTTGCATCTGTCTCCCCCACCAGGCCTCTCCCCTGCACACGCCTGCCCGCCATGACTCTCCCCTGCACGTGCCGCCCCTGTTAGGCTTCTCCTCTGTACACGCCTCCCCCTCTACGGCCCAGGTCAGAAGGTGGGGCTGGGTGCTGGGAGACAGGCCGGGACACCGGGGTCCTCGGGGGATTGGGAGGGGGGCACGGAGTCCGGGGCCTGAGGGGAATGCCAGGTGGTGCCCCTGTGTGCCAGGCCAGTGCCTCCCCGCCGGACTGCAGGACCCCAGCTCCTCCCTGTGGCTCTCACAGACCTGGGGCCCCAGAGCTCCGGTCAATCCACTGAGCTGGACGGGGCAGCTGCCCTGGGTCCCCTGCAGCTCCACATCCTGGGTGCCCAGTGAGGGTGCAAGCGGGTGTGCCCCGGCTCCTCTGAGGAGGGGCTGTCACGGCCCCGTCCGCGTGGCCAGATGGCCGGGTGCACTGGCCCCTCACTGACAGGTCTGGACATGCCCCCAATGTCCTCCTGGAGGGAGAAGTCCTGAGAGCGGAGGCTGTGGCCGGCACGGGGCTGAACACAGGCTTTGCCCGCGGGAACCTCCTGCCCCCTCCCACCCCTCTGGTCTCTCCTGTCCCTTCTTGTACCTTTTCTGGTCCCTCCTGTCCCCTCCTGCCAGCCCCTCCCCCCCTCCCAATGACAGGGCTCTGCAGGGCGTCAGGGGCGGGCAGCACCTGCCCTTCAGGGGGTGTCTCTCTGAGGTCAGCACTGGTGGGCAGATGCGGCCCCTTCTCAGTGACCATGCTCCCATAGCCCACTCTGGGCCGGCCCCTGTCCCCAAAGACAGCTATGCCCGGCCCTGACACAACCCTCGGGGACCTCCTGCTGTGGCCAGCACTGGCCAGAGGGGCGGGCGGCTGACCCAGGCAGTGGCCACTGTCCCTGAAGGCAGGAGGGAAGTGTGACAGCAGCTAGGAGGCAGCCCTTGGGCGAGGCAAGTGGACTCGGGGGAAGGGGGAAGGCAGTGTGGGCAGCGGGGGGCAGCGTGGAGTGTGGGGGCAGGGTGGGCGGCGGGGAACAGAGGGACGTGGGGGACAGTGTGGACAGTGGGCGGCAGTGTGGGCAGTGGGAGACAGCGTGGACAGCGAGGGGCAGCGCCTCCACTCACAACCGCCTCGTCCTGCACGTGGGCTCATCGGGCCCTGCCTCTGTGCCCCGCTGCATGCTGGGCTGTGGACCAGGCCCCGAGGTGCAGACCCGGCCCCTTGGGTGCCCTCCTGCCCCCGGCCAGGCTCCTCTCAAAGACCCAGGGGTCTCGGCGGGAGAGGGGCACGGCTGTCCTCCACCCGCACCCCGACTCAGGCCAGACACCAACAGGGCTGAGCAACAGGCCCCTGGGGAGGTCTGAGCCGGCACCCCACAGGGCCCGAGCACCACCGCTGGGACCCCAAACGAGCTGGGAGGCTGGGGGGGTCAGCCAGGAACGATCAGGGCCAGGGTGGGGAGAGGCAGGGGGCAGTCGGGGGGGGGGGGGGGGCAAGGCAGGGCCTGGGGTGGGGCAGGGGCTGGAAGGGGGCTGGGGGCAGGTTTGCCTGGGGGCGGGGTTGGGTTTCTTGGGGGCAGGGCAGGCCCGCCCAGCCTGCTCCGGGAGCATCCATCCTGTCCATGGCTCTGTGAGGCCCTGCAGACCACCCCAGCTCCTGCCCAGCCGGGGGTGGCCGCTCGTTGCCCAGTGACCTGTGTCCTGCTCAGGTCCCGGGGAAGGCAGGGTCGGGCGTGAGGGTCCCTCCAGCCGGCCGCGCCCTGGTCATGCACCCGGGGGGCCCACCCAGAAGGCCCCGACTCACCAGGGCCGGGCATGTGGCCGACGCGGGCGGGGCTCAGCAGCTCCACAGGCTGGTCTCGGCCGGAGATTCCGTCTGTGGAGACACAGTGTCGCTCAGAAAGGTCTCCTGGGCCCCCCTGGGAACCCTGGGGGCCACCGGGACCGGGAGGGATGAACGGAGAGGGAGAGCTGGCCAGTGAGAGGCTGGGGCCCCCTGACTCCAGGGACAGGTGACCCCCGACCCCTAAGATGGAGCAGCTGACCCCCGACCCCTAAGATGGGACAGCTGACCCCCGACCCCTAAGATGAGACCACTGACTTCCGACCCCTAAGATGGGATAGCTGGACCCTGACCCAGAGGGGGCTGAGGTCTGTGGGGGCAGCTGTTAGTGGGGTGAGGTGGGGGGGGGAGGAGAGTGGAGTGAGGTCAGAGGAGAGAGGTCAGAGTGAGGTGAAGTCAGTATGAACAGGTCAGTGGGAGAGGTCCGAGGGGAGAGGCCAGTGGGGTTCTGGAGCGCAGGGACCCTTGGATCCCGGCCACCTCCCAAGGCTGGGCTCCGTGTGGAGCTGGGGCTCAGGGGCGTGGAGGCCGGGGGTCTTGGGTACAATCCCCACGAGGCCCCAGGGGCCAGGGACTCGCCGCCCCTCCTGTCTCTGCACACTCCGGGCCTGGACACGTGCTCCCCTCCCACGAGCCCTGGAGAGCCGCCCATACCCGTGTCCTCCCAGTGCCTCCCAGGATCAGCCTGGGCCACTGTCCCCAGGGTCACTTCAGGGAGGAGGTGACAGCAGGTCTGCAAGTGCCACTCTGTCCCCATGAGGCCTGGCTCTGGGCACCACACTGCCCACAGGACCTGCTGTCCTCACCACACACACACACACACACACACACACACACACACACACACACACCGGGCCTGCTGTCCCTGTCCCATTCCCACAGACACACGCTGGCCCCCGCTCTGTTCCCCCCCACACACACTTGGCCCTGCTGTCCCTGCCCTGCCCCCCACCAACGTCGAGCCCCGCTCTGCCCCCCCCACCAGGCCTTGCTGTCCCCCACCATGCACACATGGGGCCCCGCTGTCCCCACCCCGTCCTGTGGGGTGCAAGTGTGGGGGGAGTGTTCGGTCCGCCCAGAACCGCCCAGAAGCCAGGGCGGGGAATCACAGGCCTGCGCCCCCTCCAGGTGCATGAGGAGGGAAGAGCAGGAAGCAGAGGGCCCATCGGACATGCGACGGCAAGCTGTCCATGGCCCCCACTCCCCGACGCGAAGCCCTGGGCACTGCAGCCCCCCTGATCACTGCACCGCCCAGAGATGGGTCCGCCATATCCACGGGCAGAGGACAGCGTGAGGGGACGAGGCCCGTACGGCATTCCAGAGTGGACGTCAGCAAAGGGAAGGCCTCCGGGAAGAGAACTGGACGGCTGGCAGAACGCGAGGCCCTCAGATGAGATCACAGACGCACGACCCCGACGGCCCTAGACAGGAGTCCCGAGAATCAAGCACCTGAGAGCTCGGCCGGCCGTCAGCCTCCGCACACGCTCCCGCTGCCCTGCTCCGGGCGCCCTCGCGGAAGGGTCCGAGTGTGTGAGGAGTGACTGTGGGGAGGGCTGAGGAGGAGGCTGAGAATGAGTGACTGTGTGTAGTTGTGGGTGAATGTGTGAGTTTTTCTGTGTGGGCATGTGTGTATGGTTGTTAAGTGTGTAATGAATGTGTATGTGGGTATGTGAGCACAAGAGTGTGTGACAGTGAGTGCATCTATGTGAGATGGTGCATGATTATGTATGTGTGTAACTGCAAATGTGTGTAAGGGTGTGTGTGTTTGTGTATGGTGGGTGAGCATGTGTGAGGTCGTAGGAGTGTGGGGGGGTGTGAGCACATGTGTGTATGAGGGAGCGCTGTGTGGGTGAAGGAGTGTGAGAGAGCGTGTGTGAGGGTGTGCATGAGCGAGCATGAGTGAGGGGGTGTGTGACTATGAGAGTATGTGGAGGGTGAGTGATGGTGTGTGTGTGCGCACTGTGAGGGAGTGTGAGCATGTGAGTACGACTGAAGGTGTGTCTGGGTGTGTGTGTGAGCATATGTGAAGGAGCATGCAAATGTGTGACCACGTGTGTGTGAGGGTGTGTGAGTGTGGGGGGCTGGAGCGACAGCACAGCGGTAGGGCGTTTGCCTTGCACGCAACCGATGGCTGCCCGCACGGCAGAGCCTGGCAAGCTCCCGGTGGCGTATTCGAGATGCCAAACACAGTCACAACAAGTCTCACAATGGAGGCGTTAGTGGTGCCTGCTGGAGCAAATGGATGAACAATGGGAGGACAGTGCTACAGTGCTATGAGTGTGGGAGGATGTATGTGTGTGTGGGCGAGCATGTGTGAGGGTGTGTAGGTGAGTGAGGATGTGTGGGTGTGTGTGGGTGTGAGTGTGGGTGAGACTGTGTGAGGGTGAGTGTGGGTGAGTATGTGTGAGGGTGTGTGGGTGTGTGCGTGTGTGGGTGTGCAGGTGAGCCTGTGTTGAGGGTGTGTGGGTGTGCGGGTGTGTGAGTGTGGGTGAGCCTGTGTGAGGGTGTGCGGGTGTGTGAGGAAGCGTGTGTGACCCTGAGTGAATGTGGGGCGCACAGGGACAAGCGCCACACACCTCACTCAGTCAGCCAACACTCAACGGCTTCTCAGCTGCAGACCCTGGTGCCACTGAGGCAGGCAGAGGCCGTGCCACGTGACTGTGACTGGCAGCTGTCCCTGCACCTCCCTCCCGTGACACCACATTTGCATGTCAGAGAGGCCGGCTTTGAAAGCAACTCTTTGTGAGAAATAATCAGCGCAAGATTGCGTCTCCGCTGTGCACGGAAATTACTTCAGAGTCGCCCGCTCTGTGGCGACTGAAGCGCTTTATGCAAATGTGCCTGCAGAGGCCGCATTAATGCAAATGTTCTGTCTGCCCGGACCGAGTCACACAGCATCTGCCTGCGCAGCCCGGCCTCACTCTCCTGCGAGCGGCTCGAGTGTGTTCCAGCTGCTGCTCAGGGGACTCGTGTCCAGAGCGGGGCCACGGCATGGGGGGCTGCCGGACGCCCCTGCTCCACAGAGGGGCCAACACGTTCAAGGCAGGCTCAGGATTCCTTCTCCTACAGGCCTCTGCTGGGAAAACACTCGGCGGAGGACAGACGTGGGAAGGGACCCGGGCGGCGCCAGGGCGCCCTCCGAGGGGGAAGACCAGAGCCCACCACCACATCCTGACATCAGCTGGCCCTGCGCAGGGTCATGGACTCCACACAGCCACAACAGCCTCGTCTTTAAACCCAGAACCTCCAAACAATGACAAGATCAGCACCAGTAGAGAAAGAACAGGACAGGTGGGAGGGGAATGGATGGGTGGGTGGGTGGATGGGTGGATGGATGGATAGATGGAGGGATGGATGGGTGGATGGGTGGGTGGGATGGGTAGATGGGTGGGTGGATGGATGAATGGGTGGATGGATGAATGTGTGGATGAATGAATGGGTCAATGGATGGGTGGATGGATGGGTGGATGGATCAATGGATGGTTTGGTGGGTGGATAGATGGGTGGGTGGGTGGACGGATGGGTGGGTAGGTGGATGAATGGGTGGACCGATGGATGGATGGATGGGTGGGTGGGATGGGTAGATGGGTGGGTGAATGGATGAATGAGTGGATGAATGAATGGGTCAATGGATGGGTGGATGGATGGGTGGATGGATCAATGGATGGTTTGGTGGGTGGATAGATGCGTGGGTAGATGGATGGGTGGATGGATGGGTGGATGGATGGGTGGGTGGGTGGATGGGTGGATGGATGGGTGGGTGGGTGGATGAGTGGGTGGACCGATGGATGGATGGATGGATGGATGGATGGATGGATGGATGGATGGGTAGATGGGTGGTTGGGTGGGGGAATGGATAAATGGGTCAGTGGATGAATGGATGAGTGGATGGGGTGGATGGATAGGGAGATGAATGGATGCGTGGATGGTGGATGGGTGGGAGATGAGTGGGAAGATGGAGGGATGGATAGGCCATTGGATGAATGGACGGATACGTGAGTGGATGGATGGGTGGTAGACAGATGGGTAGTGGTAGCTGGGCGAATCGTGGATGGGAGGATGGAGTTGATGGGTGAATGGGTGGGTGGGTGAGTGGGAGGATGGGTGGATGAGTGGGCGGACAGAGGAATGATGGGAGGGTAGACGGTGGGTGCATGATGGAGGATGGATGGTGGGTAGATGAACAGATGGATGAGTGCGTGTGTAGATGGATGGACAGTAAACAGAAGGATGGGCGGATGCGTGGGTGGATAGATGGGTGCAAGGGAGGGTGGATGGGTGGGTGAGTGAACGGGTAGGCAGATGAACAGCAGATGGGTGGGTGGGTAGACGAGTGGATGGTAAACAGGTGAATGGGTGCACAGGTGGGTGATGAAGAGATCCTCTAAACAAAGAAGCAGACATGGGTTCGGGGGAGGGTGGGACACCCGGATTCTAAATATATTCAACCTCCGAATCTCTATCCAACTCGTGGGAACCAGCTTCACCTATGACATGAGCAGTGTGGATACGAACTATTACATCAACTTTGCTAAAATGCCTAAATACGTTTTTGGATAAATAATCCTTAGAATAACTAACCCCGACTGCTTCTAACGGCCCTTTCGTATTAGCTGAGGTTGTCATTCATTTCAAACTGACTCATTTTCCCAGAGATGCCGCCGTCCTCTCTCCCCACAACCCCGGACTGGGTCCAGGCTTCGCTCACTTCCGGGGTCCAAGTGATGGGTAGACGTGGCTTCCCCAGGAGAAGGGCTGGAGTGCGGAGAGGCCAGCAGGCAGTCTTGCCACAGAGAACACCAGGGAAGCCAAGTCACACAACAGGGAAAATGGCCTTAAACGTGCGCGGATTTGGGTTTTGATGAACTTAATAAAACTGAAGAAATGAAAAGGGCCAAAGAACATGAGCTCAGGAGATGCAAACATGATTTTTAAAAATTGACAAGCCCCAAATGGGTTCTTTGAAAAGACAGAAAACCAACAGCGTTGAGGACGAGACAGTGACGTCACCTCTGGGAACGGGGACTGCCACG